GGTATAGTTGACCTCGTGCGTCTTGAGTTGTCTCGAGGCGTATGCGATGACCTTCCCTCGTTGCATCAAGACACATCCAAGTCCCTGGTTTGACGCATCACAGTAGACCACAAAGACTTCTGTTCCTTCTGGCAAAGATAATATAGGTGCGCTGCATAGGGCTCGCTTTAGTGTATGGAATGCAACGTTTTGTTTTTCTCCCCAGATGAAGGTTAGTCCCTTCTGAGTCAGGGTGGTAAGTGGCTTAGAAATCTTCGAGAAGTTTTGTATGAACCTCCGGTAATACCCGACAAGGCCCAAGAATTGTCAGATTTCCGTTGGAGTCCTTGAAGTTGTCCAGTTCTCGATTGCCTTGATTTTGGAAGGGTCCACGTGTATCCCCTCCTTGCTGACCACGTGACCTCGGAAATCTACTTTCCGAATCCAAAATTCTAACTTTGAGAATTTTGCGTATAGCTTCTCTGTCCTTAATGTTTCCAAGACTTGTCGGAGGTGTTGGCTATGTTCCTCCTTGCTCCTTGAATAGATGAGTATATCATCTATGAAGACGATCACAAATTTGTCCAGGAAAGGACGACATACTCGGTTCATCAAGTCCATGAACACCGCCGGTGCATTTGTCAATCCAAAGGGCATCACTACAAACTCGTAGTGACCATAGCGAGTTCGGAATGCCGTTTTGGGAATGTCTCCTTCCAAGACTCGCAACTGGTGATACCCAGATCTTAAATCGATCTTTGAGAAGTAGCTCGCTCCTTGTAGTTGGTCGAACAGATCGTCTATGCGCGGTAAGGGGTATCGGTTCTTGATCGTGAGTTTGTTCAGTTCCCGGTAATCGATGCACATTTGAAAAGATCCGTCCTTCTTCTTTACGAACAGAACCGGTGCTCCCCAAGGTGAGAAGCTCGGTCTGATGAACTCTTTGCTTAGAAGCTCGTTCAGTTGGCTGGATAATTCCTGCATTTCTGCCGGTGCCAGACGGTACGGCGATTTTGCTACTAGGGTAGCTCCGGGAATTAAGTCGATCCTGAACTCGACTTGTCGTTCTGGTGGGACTCCTGGAAGATCTTCAGGGAAAATGTCGGGGAAATTGCAGACTTTCGGAATGTCTTTAATGTCTTCCACTTCTCGTTTTTTGTCTACCACGTGGGCTAGGAAGGCATGATATTCTTTGCGAAGGTATTTTCGGGCTTTGACACAAGAGATGATTTGTAAATTGGTACTGGGTTTGTCCCCATAAATGATAAGAGTTTTGCCGTTTGGCAGATTAAGGCGAACGACCCTTTCATGACAAAGTATATCGGCATGGTGACGACTTAACCAATCCATACCGATGATGACATCAAAGCTTCTTATAGTGATCGGCATTAGATCGATTTGGAACGAGTGTTCATTTAAATCTAACGTGCAGCCTATGTACATATCGTTTGTGCTTTCTGTTTTACCGTTTTCCATTTCTACTATAAATATCTTATTAAGTGCTTGGGGTTTTTGATTAAGTAAGTGTTTGAATTTATGACTCATAAAACTTCTCTCTGCACCACAGTTAAAGAGTATGCATGCATAAATGTTGTTGAGGAGAAACGTACCCGTAACCACTGTGGGATCGGCTATTGCCTCGTTCTGCCCTATAGCCAACACTCTTCCTACACCGCCAACATTCCTTGCCTTAGGGCAATCCCTCTTGTAGTGCCCAGTTTCCCCACACCCATAACATGCCTGGCTCACTCCGGTACCAGGGACTTGGGTGATTGGTCGCGCCGGTGCCTTACAGAAACGGGCAGTGTGCCCTTTCCTGTCGCAGTTTTTACAGTGCATCTCCCGGTAATTCCCGTTGTGATGGTAATTGCATTTGTTGCACTTTGGTAGGTTCCCAGCATATTGTTTTATCGACGTAGGGGTAACAGGGACAGCAGTGGGGGCAGTAGCGGCATGGACCGCCACTATTTGCTTCTTTGAAGGTTCTTGCGAAGTTTGACCTTTCCTCTTATTCCAAAACTTCTTGTTGTTGTTGTTGTTGGCATTGTTGTTATTGTTGTTGCTTCCTTTGGTTGGTTCCGGGACGACGGTTGTGACATCTTGGCAGACCCCATGATCGATGAGGGACTGTGCCAGTTGTTTGGCACTGTCGAACGTCGTGGGTTTGGAAGCTAGCACACTTCCTCGAAGCTGGGGCGACAGCCCCCAGACATACCTTTCCACTTTCTTGCTTTCTAGGGCCATCATCCCTGGGCAAAGTATTGTCAAATCACTGAACCTATCCATATAGGTTGTGATGTCCGAGCCCACCATAGTCAATCCCCAAAGCTCTTGTTCAAGCTTCTGGATCTCGCCCCTTGGGCAGTACTCTCGCAGTAGCATTTGCTTCAGGTTCTCCCAACCCATGGATTTGCCACCACCAGAGTTAGTGACTTGACGTGGCCATTCCACCACGTTAGGGCTCGTTTGGAGGAAGTACAGACGATAAATTTTACTTTGCTCTCTTCGGGGCATGAGCATATTTCGAACACGGCTTCTGTTTTCTCTATCCATTGGGATATAACCATTACTCCCCCAGTTCCATTAAAGGGGATGGTTTGCTGTTGGAGAAGTCCTTATAAGTACATTCCCCGGAACGACCCTGGTTTTGGCCATTTGTAGAGCTATTTATTCCTCCTCCTGATTCGTTGTTACTCATTTGTGTCATTGCTGCAGTTACGGCAGCTGTTACAGCAGCCTGAAAGGTAGCAGCATCCATCGACGGAGGTGGAGGTGGAGGTGGTGTTGGAGGTGGAGGTCGGGTTGTCACAGGGATGAAACCTCATCAAGAATCACATCTCATCAAGAACCCCCACTGTTGGTGTTCGTTTGATTAGAAAAGAAGAGTTCAGCTCGGTGGCCGCCTTACAATTACTTCTGGGTTTTTGATCTTCATCCTAAATGGTCTCTTGGAGATAGATTGTTGTTTATCTGGAGATTTATGGAGAAGGTGAGGGATAAAGATGGAATTTTGATTAAAATTTGATGGGTTCTAGGTCTTGATTCGTGTATAAGAGAGATACAGTATATGATTTTCATTTGTGATGCAGTCTTGGGTCTTGAAATCCTCTTCAACATCGCATCTTCTTCTTCATCTGAATCTGCAAATTGATCGATTTTTAAGATTTTCCTAATAAATTTGTTTCGATTTTTTTGGCATAAGCTATGTAGAGCTATAAATGCCCAAATTTTATCTGAAATTATTTGTGTTGATGAATGGGGATTTTTTTATCGATTCTTGTGAGTTTTGAAATGGGAAGGTGATGCAGATTAGTCGAATGGAGTTTTCGAATGTATGATTTTCATTTGTGTTATTGTTCATGGTTATGAAATAGGTGTTGATGTATTTTTTTTTGTAATTTCTAGTTATCCAATGAAGATGAAGACTGGAACGGATGTGAGTTTTGCAGGTTGAAGTGCAGAGAAGGGATGGAGACAGCATCACAACAATGTCGGTGGTGGGAAGGAGAGAGAGAGAGAGAGAGAGAGAGTCAAAGAGAGGAAGAAAGTCAAAAAGAAAAAAAAAGGGGGGGGGGAGGGGTTACGGGTGGATAGATATATATTTTTTAATTGTTTAATATAGATTTAAAAAATAGGAAAAAGAATTAAAAAGGGTAAAATAGTCTTTTCAAGTTGTTCAGAGACTAAAAACATGGAAAAATCTTGATTTTGAACCTTCTATGCAAGTGAAAAAGTTTTTGTACCCCATCAAAAAAAAATTTGAATACCACAGGGACCAATCTTATAGTTTTGTCGTGTGTATAAGTTATAACTTTAGTGTGTGTGCGGTTGGAAACCAGATGGTTCTTTTTCAGGGGTGAGGATTTCAATATAGAATAGATGAATGATGTTTTTCCCTTTGACTTGAAATATAGTAAACCCTAGGCCGAGTGGAAATACATGAAATTCGATTCACTGCCGACTGGACGGTAGGGTCACACTTTCTCGTGTGTGAAAATAAAAGTTGTTTTTATATATAAATATGAATGTATAATTATAGAGGAGAAAAAAATTAAAAACTTTGATATATTCAATTTTTTTCAATAAAACATAAAATTAAAAAAAAAAATTAAAATTTTACTATAATCTTGTAAATAAACGTCTGACTAACAAATATATGCAGTATGTTCTATCAATGATATTTTGGATCCATTAGTCACTTACTTGATTTCTTGTTATTTTTTAAACTTGAACTTGACCTTACATACATATTGATATTTGCTATCTCCATTTATTTTTCCGTATTGGTCTTCACCGGTATTTGTTCACATGTCATATGTGCATGTGTAGATTATCAATTGCTTCGATGGGTTATTGGTTGATATTTTTCATTCATATTATTTCTATAAATAATGAATACGAAGATAACGAAACAGGTCACAAAAGACAAAAATGTCCCTCAATTAAAAAATGCACATGACGCTATTTAATGAATATCAAATTAATGTCAACAACTCATTAAAATGAGAGACTATTTTAGATTAAAAATGGCAAAACATTCTTAGAGTTTGATTTTAGAGGATGGTTATTTATCAAATTGTTGTACTTTTGAATTTTATTTTCATTAAAAGATATCAAAAGTAGTTTTGGCCGATAAACCCATATTTTCCTTATATTAGGAAAAAAATCAAGTAGTTTTGGAGATTTATATTCTATTTTTTTTAACAAACAATACAATGTTATACTCGAGGCTATATTATTGATAAAAAAACAAAAAATATATATATACAAAAATATATAATTTTTTTTCTAGAGATAAAAACCATTACTGATATATTTTTGTAATCATTAAAATTTGGGTTGAATTAGATTCTTAATAATTTTATAAAAATTGATTTGAACATATATAAAGAAGGGAATACACTGGTTGATAACTTGATATGATAAATAAAAATCAAAGTATTATTTTAATGGACTACATATGTAGATTAAGGCATAGTTAAGGGTAAACAATTGTAATTTAATATGAAAGACAAAGATCCCACCAACCGAACATCTCGCATTCTCTATCTCCAGTGTGTGTGTCTGTGTGTGAGAGAGAGTGAGAAGCTGCTGCTGCAAACACCATATTCTCCAAAACCCTTTACTTTCTGCTTCGAGATTCTCACTTCACTTTCACTCATCCCTACTATCATCAAACCCTTTATCTATATTTTTTTCAAATCGACATTTTCCCCAATCTTTACCCGATCAAACTTTGCTGAAAAACTCTTTGTTTTTCTTCAAATTAAAAATGCCGATCAACAAAGAACCGGCGACTCCGCCGATGATCGGCAAGATCGGTCCTTACACCGTATTCGTTACTCCTCCTCCTACCCCCAAACCTTCATTCGAATCTTCTCCTGTGTCGGTTTCTGAATCTCCGAAGAGAAAAGATGTTTCGCCGCCGCCTCTGAAATCCTCCCCACCGATTCAGCCGCCGGCGATGAAATCCGCTCCTCCGGTCCTTCCTCCACCGGTTCAATACGAGAAGTCCGCTTCGGCCTACGACTCGAAGTTCGGTTTCTTTTGGGATGCCGTCGCTAAAGTCCAGAATGGTATAATTTGCTTTTTTTTTTTTTTTTTTTTCCTTTCGATTTTGAATTCATTACGGGGAACTAAAAAACGAATGTGTGTGTCCAGATTTGTTTGATAATTGCTTAATTTGTTCTACTTCTTGTTACCTAATCTGAATTATGTAGTCCATTGAAGTTAGAATTGTGTTTAATCTTTGATCTTTAACAGCACATTCAAGTTTGGATGATTATGTAGCTCGTTGGTTTGGGCTGAATCAATCGAAATATCAATGGGCTCTTGATGATTATTACGAAAAGAATGGCGTGGTAAGTTTCTTGGATTGAATTTCTATTATTTTCTAACTTATCTGGTCAAATTTCTCTAATGTTGACTCTGGAAATGATAGAATTCAAGAAAATCTTTTATACAATTTGATGATTACACCAAGCGTTATACTAATCATTTCGATTGATGTAATTTTTTTTGATAAAATTGCATCAATATTACATTAAAAGAACTTGAACTGGACTTAAAGATGAATATATTCTCTTTTCTTCTTTTTAGATAATTTACCTTTTGAACTATCATGCATAGCTTTTTTGTCTCTCTTTTGAATCAAAGAAGTAAACTAAAGTTTGTTAAAATGAGCGATTCTTGTTTCTTTTGAATAGCTCATTTTGCAAAGTACGATGTTTTATCGTTAGTTTTCCAAATGATGCTTATAAAATATAGATGGAAAAAGTAAATTTTGGCAAATTTGAAAATAGTTAGGAGTTAGGACTCGTTTCCCTAGGCATTACCTTAGACTTTCTTTTTCTTTCTTGTTTGGTGTTTTGGAGCTCCATTATTATCTAGAAATGACTTCATATTAAAGATTGAATTTTTATGTAACTTGCAAGTTAATTATTGTCTACTTGAATTAAAGATTGAATTTTTATCTTTAATCATTCTAGACATTTAAGCTCATTGGTTGATTAATGATTACTACACTTGTAAAATGTAAGAGGTTAAATCTTGAAACATGTTATAAAAGATTTATAACTTTTATTTTCATTTACAATGCCAATGTCTATAGAATATTCATAGATATGGGGTACAATGAAAGGAAGCCAAGAATGGTCATGAGTTGACTTTGGGGTTGTTTGGTTGTGTATTTTCAAAGCAGTTGAATCAAATAATCCTATAATCATTTGAATAAATTAGGGGTAGTTAGGTAATTTTACATTAATTTATCCCTAAAACCTATCATCAACTGCAGGACCATGTTGATGCAAAAGTTAAAGATGTATCCACAAAAGCACAAAGTGTGTAAACATCCAACTCAGATGGTAAGTTCTCCATTAAGTCCTAATTCTTTACAAATTTCCCCTCACTTGTTAAAACGTATCATCATTTTCTTAAGTGTTTGTAAAAACAAATTATATATTTACGGATTTAGCCCTTGAAGATTCAAGAATGTTATTGTTTTTATGCAGGGAATGGTGTTGAGAAAGGCACCTTGAGACACTTTTTGATTAAGATATGTCTATATGTCAAAAACATCACATAATATATATATATATATGATTTGCTTAGTGGTTGGATTTGGATCGAATCAAATCTATACATTTATGATTTATCAAAAATCTTTTGCTACTTGTGCTGCATTTGGAGGCCTGATGATGTTATTAATGTGAAAGTATGATATGAGGCATGTAAGAATTAAGACGTAACATCCTTTTTTGTTTACCATGTTTTCTCTTAACAACTCTGCCTAAAATAGGCTAATCTCTCAAGACTTGTAATCATGATTTGTTGTTGTATTTGCATTTCTGTTTCCAGTTGAAATGAATTGAGTTGAATTAAGATCAGTTTACTTTACAGCATTTCTTTCAATTGCAATCGTGTTTGTTAGAGCATTTTTAAGAATTGTAGCCTTATATATGTCATCTTGTTACAACTCAAGATCCTTTAGCTTAGCTTATATATGTCTTTTTATCGAAATTGATTTGTATCATATTCTTTTTGTGTAAATATTTAAAGCTTTATATCCATAAATGGCTATATGTAATTTCTCTTATCAAAGAAAAAGAAAATTAAATTAAGCAAAGTTTAATTTAATAGCATTAAACAATACGGTAATGTACGAAATTGGTTCATGTGTTCTTAGCCAAAAAAGATATTTCGGGGACATTTATTTAAAAAACGAACCATGTTTCTTTTAAAGATACGAGGAAATGATCCAATTTTTTAGAATTTACTAGAATAACCATTTCTATTGGAATGGCATTTTCGGTTCCAAATGATATATAATTTTATTTTTTATTTTACCAAACGCTTTTCGGAAAAAAAAAAAAAAACGCTTCCAAAATATTATATATATTTTTACATTTTGAAATATTAAGACAGCTTTGGCAAAACTAGTAGAAAAGAGTATGAGTTTTTAAAACATGTAAAATTAATAAAATTGTTAAAACATAAAATAGAAACATAATTTAAAAAAAGGATAATTAAAGTCAATTTATAAAAAAATATAAAGTTTTTTTTTTAAACGCTACTTAAAGATTTTTATTTAAATTAAAATCTAGAAACTCCTGCTATCAAACATTCTTTTTTTCGAGTTTTTTCTTAACTAAATGGTACACTTTATGCACTTATATGGAAACATACTTTACTTTTCTTATGTTTCTTTAATTTTTTTTTTAGATTTTGATAAAAAAAAAATAAAGAACAAAACATAGTATTTAAAATTTTAGACTTGTTTACTGAATTTTAGATATGTTTTGAAATTCCGGATTTTTTTTTCTTTTTCTAAAGGTTGTAAAAAACGTTTGACGTTAGTTAGTCGGTGTACTGGGGTTAAGAAATTAATCAGAAAAGCGGAGATTAATCAGTATTCGTCTTCTAGTCGGTTTGCTACCGGTTCACTCAAATAGTTTAATACAACTAATTCCTCAAATAGTTTCTGTTGAGATATAACTTCTTCAACATGTTAAAAATTAATCGTTTGCTACTAGTTCGCTCATTGTATATACAAAGATTAATCAGTATGTGCATTCTAATCTGTCGGGTAGCGCCTAGGGATTAATCGGAGATTAATCGAGTCCTAGTCACAATTTTTACAACGTTGTTTTTCTATTCATAATTCGAAATTTGAAACTTGAATATAAAATGTATTTTTGCATCAGTAAAAGTATTTTAGAAGTTAGCCCGAAAAAGTCTGAAATGTCCATTCCAAACAAAACAAACAATCATTTTTATAAATGCCTAAAAAATTGGCCATATAGTAATGATTCCAAGTCCTTAATGAGGGATGAGAAAAAAAACTGAATCGAATCGGAATCGGAATTGAATTGGTCATTTGGTTTAAAAAAATACCAACATTTGGTTTTTCAGTTTAAAACTCAGGTCGGCGGTTCTCGAACTTTTCAATTTTGAAACCGTTTAAGGGCAAATCAATTTCATTTTTAGCAATGTTTATAATTTTTGCCCAACTTTGAACGACCACCTCCTTCATATGAGCTTAAAATGAATGAAGTTTTCCCAAGTTGTAGCTGTGACATCCCCAATTTCTCGGCTAGAGAAAACCGTTTTATTTATGCTTATTTTAAAACAGAGTTTGTTTATAAATACATAATTGGTCCCATAAAAGTATTCTCCGAAGAAATGTTCATCATTGTTTATTAAAAACTTGGGATGTCATAATTGATACAATAAACATAAGCATAGATATAGTTCTTACACACATTACCATATCTTTTATACTATGGTCAATATTTCCTCGAATCTCTCATCCGGTCTGAACATCATAACCTACGTACTGTTACCTGTAATACAAAGCAACTGAGTGGGTTGGGTTGGAAAACCTAGTGAGTACATATGGTTTTCAACCCATAATAATGTAGTCAATACGTTTAATTATCAAACAATTAACCCGATTACCCATCCCCGTTTTGTTCTTTATTCTTCCCTAAGGATTATCATAATGGTCATCATAGTCATCGTTGCTGATAATATTGTTTCAGGGATTTCTCCGCTAACATGTCAGTAGGTTTCTTTATATTTTCATTCCTAAGGATATGTCCTAAGGATCATCTTAATCATCGTTACTGATAGTATTGTTTCAGGAAATTCTCCGCAATACATGTCAGTATGGAGTAGAGTACATCAAATGGGCAAAAAGTCCATCACCTACAGGTTATAAACCTGCATGTGTTCCACGAGACTGTCTTGAATAGTCTGGTGGTCATCACTTATACCCTGTTAGATGACTACATCGTTCGTACACTAGTACCATTCCTACATCGTTAGTACACTAGTACCATTTCTACATCGTTAGTACACTAGTATCATTAAAGTCGTGACATCTTATTGTCATTTTCATCATTCATCATACTATGACATCTTATCAGTTTCATCTCTCATCATACTATGACATCTTAACTCTCATCATAATATGGCATCTTATCATTCTAATCTCTCATTACCCTTTATTACCCAATGTATTATATTCATGAAAATACATGTACGACATAAATCATATAAAACGTATATTTATAGTATTTCATCTAACACATAACATCTTTGTACATAAGTACATATATCATTCAATTATCTATATATAAGAATAAAGTAACTATGCACTCACTAGTTAAATGCAGATGACTTGGGACTTTGGCAGAGCTTCACCTTAGCACTTTGACTTTTCCTTTGATGTGACATATGTTCAATTATCATTAAGTCTTAGTTTAACGTTGGTCATGACTAATGATAGTCTAGATTCATCATTAATCCAAAAGTCTACTAATCTATAGCTGATAATGGACAAATTCCGCATTTACAAAAGGATTATATGTTTTTAAATAAGCATAAATAAAATATCTTTTCTTACCGCAAAAAATGGAGATGTTACAGTAGCACTCTGTCTTTGCTACAATTTAGACTCAAAAACACTTAAACTGATTAAGAAATATTTGAGTTACACAACTTTAAACATAGGCTATTAGGACTGTATGTTTTTTCTCAACATTGTTTATATTTTTGCCAAATTTTAACGATCATATTTCCTTCATAGGAGCTCAGAATGAGGTGATTTTTCCCCATGTTGTAGCTCTCCGTTTTTTGCTACAATTTAGGCTCCAAAAGTGAACGACCGAGAAATCTTGTTTTTAACGATGTTAGCTTACGTAACTCGAATAATTATTTTTGTAAATGATTTTGGTTTTATGACTACAGATTGAAACAAATTAAATAAAATGGTGTTAAGTAATATTTAAATAATTATTAATAAGTATATGATTAAATTAAGTTATGTAAACCAAATGTGTAATATAAGTGAGGGTTAGAATTAATTCAAATAAAAGTAAAAGGTAGAATATGAACAAAAGGAGAAATAGAGGGTTAATGTTGTAATTTGGTATTTAAAAATTAAAACCCCTTTAAGGAGGCAACGTAAATAATAAGTCCATTTCTTTTTCTTGTGTTCGACCAATACGTTTGAAGCAAGATCATTTCAATTGTGTTCTTAGGCTGTTTCACAATCGATGTTTAAGAGAGAGAGAGAGAGAGAGAGAGAGAGAGAGAGAGAGAGAGAGAGAGAGAGAGAGAGAGAGAGAGAGAGAGAGAGAGAGAGAGATTCGGTTTTGCTTCTGCGTTTGTGTCCCAGATTTTTCTAGTAAGCTCTCGACCCTAATCACATGTTTCTCCTTCTGTTTCACGATCTTGCTGCCGAAAAGACCTAATAGCTCCTAGGTCATCTATACATATATACATATATGAAGGTGTGACAATAATAAACTAAAATTTTTATAAATGGCGGATATTAGTTTGTTCATTATCAATTTCAATATTAGTTTGTTCATGACTATTATTATCAAGATTAGTTTGTTCTTGTTCACTATCAACATTTTTGTTTGTAGTTAAAAATTTTAAAAACGATCCTTTATGTGATTTTATAAAAGCTTCTTGTTGCATTTTTCTTTTCCTTTTAAAAGCTCATGATTCATATTTTCTCTTAGACATGATTATTAATTATTTGATTAATAATAACTATCACCAAGACAACAAAAAATGAACAAAAAGTAATGGAAATACCTGTTTTTTGTAACATTCCGTTTGAAATTAAATAAATAAAAGAAGTAAATAAATAAACCTTAAACCCCGAGATGTATATTATAGTTTATTGTAGCCCTAAATCAGTAATAACTTAGCAGGGTGTTGGTTTTCAGGTAGTTAAAAGTCATAAATTGAGATTTTGGGGGTTAAAGTGTAAATTCTGGATTGGTTTTGTAAAGAATTCTGAAGGCTGAGGGTTGTTTGGTAAATTATGGATTTAAGTTCAAAAGAATTGAGAGGGAGGGGCTGGAAGTGTAATTATGAGTTTAGTTTGTATATGGACGGTCATTAAACCCGTCACCTCCTTTTATTCAAACCCTAACCCTAAAGCCTTCATACTGCCGCCACCTTATTCCCCTGCCTCCAGCCGCCACTGTCACACCCCGATCCTTGTCGGAATCGATCAAGGCGTGATATATTGTTCAAAGTCTCATGACAACTATGTTATAATATGATTAGATTCAATTAAGTACTAAGTATGCAAACAAGATCCACAACATACAAATACAAATCCAAATACGAACAACATTTATTACATCAAATTTAAATAGTCTTGTGGATTTCTAAGGCACAACCTATTTTTCATCAACTTCATTCTTCAAATCTGCATCATGGGTAAAACAGGTCAACTACGAGAGTTGGTGAGTAATCTAATTTTAGTAGAGAAAATTTGTGAAGTTGAAACATTTATAATTT